GCTCTTCGGGAGCCTTCAATTTATTTTCCACAATCAAATATTATTCAGACACTACTTGTGTCATGAGTCTTCTAGACAAACAGTTATCTCTTCAGGATCTTTTAATAAATATTGTACTACCAAATATTGCTCAGACACTTCTGGTGTCATGAGAGAAAATCATAATCAAATTAACACACAAAGACAATTCTAAATTTATTAAATGATGAAAATTAAGAAATTTAATATTTCGACCACTACCTAACGTTTTCCTGCTTCAGGAGGAAATTTAAATTGCTTACTACTTCAGGAGCAAATTTAAAATACAAAATATTGAGTATATCATATTACCTCTTCTGGAGGTGAGTTATAATATATTCATATCAAGAGCACGTTCATATTTACACGCTTTATTAACATTGTCACATTCACTTATGGGAATGAATCAATATTTATCAAAAATTCTCATCCTTCGGGGAATAGAATATAATTATCTGAACGTGCATTAACCACATCACATTACGATGCTTCGAACCTCCTCTCAAGATATTTTCTACTTCAGGAGCAAATCGAAGCATGTATGCAATATGAAAAAAATTTCTCTAACTTATCTTCAATTGTGACCATAACAAGCCTAAATTATCACTTCTGATGGTCATAGGCATATACCACTTTTGGTGGTTATCAAAATTTTGTTACAATGAGATATACAAAATATTTTCACTTCTGGTGGTCGTACTTTGCTAGAGTTCAAGTGAACCATAAAATTAAGCCATAACAAGACTTAGAAAAATTTATGGCATGAACTGCCAAGAGAACCAATTAGGCTCCTTAGGACCAATGAACAAAAATTATACTGTTAGTAGCAAAAAAAAACATGAATATCTGATATGAAGGAAGTACTAACCTTTTGAGTAGAATTCTTAATGATGGCGATTGGATCGGATTTATAGCATAAAAAATTTTGCTAACTCAACTCAACGAATAGTTAGTGTTAAGCAATATATGAAAGTGCAAAAATTAATGTCACAAGTCCTTTGCTACAAACCTACTTCAAGATGGCAAAGCAACAAGGGAAAATAATTCGTCGTTCATAAACAGTGATATAGGAAAACCTTTAAGCCAACAAGGAATCATTTCCATGCTTAGTTTGCAAATATGGAAATGAAATAGTGACGCTTAAGAAATATCAATGTTCAACCCACTATAAAAAGGGAAGATATCCATAAATAAAATAATTTGGTCTTACTTACAGTGAGAACTGATGCCTTTGGATGAGGATAACTATAGTAATACATCTTTCAAAGTAAGTGCTCAAGGTAGAGTCTCGTGTTGATAACTTGTTATAAAATAATAATTGTAAAGTAAATAAACTGATGTACACAATGAACTGAAAACTCCTCTATTTATAGAGGAAACGAAGCAAGGCTTTTCAGGAAGCACCTGCAAGGTTTTTCTTGAGCTGCTTGTAAGCTGTCTGCATGAGCTGCTCGCAACCTATCTGTTTAATAAGAAACTGCTGCAAATCATTTCATTGAGTTGCTTGCAACCTGCCTGCATCAGCTGCTTGTAGATAAACTTCAACAGAGTACTAAATGGATAATCTTCTTCAGGAAGATTCTCTATAGCGAAATAATAAATGGACATCCACAACATAATAGTTTCATAACAATATTCACTATATTTATCTAGTTCACAGATATAGCATATAACAATATGCACAAAAAATGACCATATAACGATATGAACAAAGGATAAAATGTAAAACTATACTGAAATCCGAAACAACCTATACTTGTCGCCAATAACTTAGAGTTGTGAATTCACATGCTCCTAACTGAATTTTACATGTCCAATGTGAGTAAATGTTCAAAACATAAAAGCAAGGTGCATGATTATCCAAACTAAATATGTATTCTAATTTACGTATAGTTTGAATTTTTATTCTAGCATATACTGAATGTGCATAACTATATTTTAGCATAAAGAATAAGCATATATAACTGATAACAGGTATGACACACCATGCACATAAGCTTAATTAGCAACAATACAACCATATCTTAAGCTGATTCTGGTATATATACTCGTCTTACATACACAATCGCCCCATATACATACCATGTATATATATAATGTCATTTTTTGAAAAAAAATATCCTAAAAAGTTCAAAGTCTTAAGTTGCCTTAATTTGAGCTAAGCTACTACTCCAAAATAGCTTTCTCGTGTCCAATTTCTTTTGGACGACACTGATTTATGCAAAACACACACACACACACAAAATATTGTTAACGGAAAAAGGTTCAAAATGCCCCTAAACTATTGGAAAAGGTTTAAAAATATCCTTCATCCACCTATTAGGCTAAAAATACCCCTCCGTCCACTTTTTTGGTTCTCGTATGCTCTTTGACCGTCAGGTCAATGCTACATTAAAAATGATTATTATTCTTTTTGTAAAGCTTAAAAAAAATATTTTGCAAAATATTTTTATTTTTTTAAACTAATGCACCAATAGTCCACTAATTTAGTAAAGTCTTCTTATTTTTTTTCCAGTTTTTACAAAAACAATTCATTTTTTACAAAAAAAAATAATATTTTTTTATTTTTTTTCAGTTTTTTTAAAGTATTTTTTTCGGTAAAAACTGAAAAAAATTTGTAAAAATAGAAAAAAAAAAATTTTTAATAAAATATTTTCGTTTTTCAAAAACTGAAAAAAATATTTTCAACAAAATATTTACGCTTTTGAAAAATATTATTTTCAGGTTTTTAAAATATTTTGTTTTATTTTCGTTTTTCTGTTTTTTTAAAGAAAAAAAATCATTTTTTTAAAAAAACTAAAAACAACTGAAAAAAAAATATTTTTCAAAAACGGAAATATTTCATTGAATATATTTTTTTCAGTTTTTAAAAAATGAAAATATTTTATGAAAAACTTTTTTTTTCTTTTTTTACAACTTTTTTCAGTTTTGAAAAAAAATGCTTTAAAAAACTGAAAAATGTAAAAAAAAAATTGTAAAAACTGAATTGTTTTTTGTAAAAACTGAATTGTTTTTTGTAAAAACTAAAAAAATGAAGAAGAAAACTTTACTAAATTAGTGGGACTAATGGTGCATTAGTTTAAAAAAACCAAAAATATTTTGTGAAATATTTTTTTTTAAGTTTTACAAAAAGAATAATAATTATTTTAAATTCAGCATTGACCTAACAGTCAAAGGGCATAAGTGAACCAAAAAGGGTAAAAATTGTGTGGGGTAGCCAATTTTTTAAAGTGGTATTTACTTTTTATCCAGCATTTTTAATGCTGATCAAAAGTAGCGACTAGTCTATTAAAATTAATATGAAAAGGCAGTATTACCCTTTCCTTCCCAAACGGAAATACGCCATTTTCAGATCCATTCCTTACAGCTCCACTTCTCCTTCTGCAATGGCGTTCTGGGGTCCATATGAGTGTTTCCATTATTTTCATATATGAAACCCAATTTTGAACAGAAGAAACGAAATGCATTAATCATATAAATTTTATAAGCCTCTCATTTTCTTTTGTGTCTACTTTCAGGAGTTAAATTGCTTGGTTTCACTCATAATAATCACAACGTGGGAGGACGTGACTTTTGGTTTTCTAAAAGAAGTGACTTTTAGATTTTCTTAAACAACAGATAATTAGGAAAAATATGGTAAAAAGCCAAAAAGTTGAGGACAAAGATAATTGTGTTAAGGACATGTAGTCCTGAAGTCCTAAAGTTAAATTCAAAAGTTAAGGACATGGTCCTGAACTTAGAGTTTCAAGTTCAAAAGTTAAGGAAATATAGTCCTGAATTCCTAAAGTTAAGTTCAATAGTTAAGGACACAAGTTCAAAAGTTAAGGACAAGCAGTCCTTAACTTACAGTTACAAGTTCTAAAGTTAAGGACAATAGGTCCTTAACTTTGATTTCCAAGTTCAAAAGTTAAGGAGATGTAGCCTTGAAGTCCTGAACTTAGAGTTACAAGTTCAAAAGTTAAGGACATATAGTCCTGAAGTCCTGAACTTAGAGTTCTAAGTTCAAAAGTTAAGGACATGTAGTCCTGAAGTCCTGGCAACACAGGCTACAGAAGTGTATAATAATGGTTCCAAACTCCAGAATTTCTAACAACCGAAGAAGGAAAACTAAGTACTAAAGATAGAGTAAGGGGGAGACTCGTCGGTCTGCGGACGCAGCAGATCTACCTCGAAGTCTCCGTAGTCCTCCTCTCTCACTGATAGTGCGCTTGAGTAGAGGTACCTGGATGATCTGCACATGAAAAACATGCGCAGGAAGGGCATGAGTACACCACACCGGTACTCAGTAAGTTCCAAGCCTAACCTCGGTTGGGTAGTGACGAGGAAGGTCAAAGACATTTTAAACGATGGCTTAAAAGTAAATACATGTGTTATTAGTGGCCAACCGTGCACTTTCCCCCCAAAAAGGTGGATGGAGGGGTATTTTTAGCCCAATAGGTGAATAAAGGGTATTTTAAAACCTTTTCCAATTGTTTAGGGGCATGTTGAACCCTTTTTCGTATTGTTAAATGAATTCATTGGACTCAGTTTTCATAATTGTTAAAATCAAAGTCAATCAAAAAATAATAATTTCCAATCAATGTATTCAAACCTTGAAATAAATTACATTTTTGGGCCATTCATATGTCATCACTACTAGAAAAACATTAATTTGTGATTGAAAATAAAGTAGTCGCTAATGGGACTACTTTTGCGACTGCTGTAGTCGGAAATAGATCTGAATTTTTATTACCTTTTCTAGAAAAGAAATTAGACTATTATTTCGACGAAAGCAGTGTGAAAATAGCGGGCCAATTTCTCGCCTTCACTTTTGCAACCGATTCGGTCAGAGAATGAAAAGTCAAAAATATTAGTTGGCCAAAAAAGCTACTGCGTCGGTCGCTAAATTAAAATTAAAATGGTAAAAGAATATTTACGCGGTAGTCACAAATCTAAATTTAATATTTCAGGCCAAAACCCTATTTCCCCAATTTGTGCGCGCCCTATTTCCCCAATTTCCCTCCTCTCTCTCTCTCTCTCGATATCTTCCATTCAATCTGAGCGGCTGACAGAGGCAAATCGGCGGACGAGGCAAAGGCTGACAGAGGCAAACCTAGAAAAAGCAAAGCTTCCACCATACCTGTGCTTGAAATTCGTTTCAACCGAGCAAAAGAGTATAGCAGGTGCCTTTTAATTTCATCACCCATATTCTGTATGAAGTTTTCTTCCTTATTTAAGGTGAACTTTTGAAGCATTATTTCTCTGTTTTCTCTTTAACATTAACATACAGAATTAGTGGAATGCATGTGTGAATTTGATTTTGCTTCTTTCAGCCGGCTCTGTATTCGGATTTTCTCTGAATTTCCAGAAAATTCACAGTATTTGTGAGTTAAAAACTTAAAGCTTTTTCTTATGTTTAATATATCGGTTAAGCTTATGTTCATACCAATGTTCTGCAAATTAAGAAGAAGCTTCTAGTAACTTCATTGTTGTTGATCTCAACCTGTTATTTTCTTGGAAACTGATTTCTGAGAATATATTTATGGAGATGTGTTTAGGATGTATCTCAAAGTGTTTGATCTTATCTCAAAGTGTTTGATCTTCACAAACTTGTAGTCGTACTTGAGAAATAGTAGCTTAGTAGGAGAGCTTTAATTTGGTAGCTGTAGTTTCAGTTATAGAATATAGCTTTGGGTAAATTGTGATGGTATCAGTAATATTTATAGGCAAAATTGGACCAATACATTAGACAGTGACTTGCCATGAAAGTAATTGGTTGTTGCCTTCTTTCTTCTCTTTTTGGTCTTTCTGTTTAGATAACAGTTGTCATTGTTACAAGTGTGTTGAATCTGTCAAAGTAACTCTTCTTTAAGTGGTCACACTAATCTCAATCTATGCTGCCTGTTGTGAACTGAAGTTGAAATATGCAAGGGCTGAATAATTTTGTATGTAAGGTTTCATCCTTATTCTTGAATCTCTGCTTTGCGTTCGATAGATAGACCTTTCCTCAACAAGTTGGTAAGAATACTTGGGGATTATTAATTAGTTAATGCTGAAAATATTCTACTCAAAAGTTTTAGAGAATTTCTCTTATTAATCGCTTTGATTGTTTTTGATAATTATGGTATTTGAGTCAGCTTACGCACATCTCAATTTTTCTCCACAAATATATATATATATATATATATATATATATATATATATATATATCTTAAGTCATGATCTATGTCTCCACAAACAGTTTTTGATAATTCATTTGCATAGGGCACATACTGTTGATAGATAACACATAATGGTTGTTGAAGTCTTGAATATTATAGGATGGCCACAAAATATATTTGTGTTGTTGAAAGAGCCAATTTTTTTATAAGTAAATTGTTTGGCATAATACTAAGTAATATATATTGTTTTAAATATCTTGGATTTATTTGTGTAGATGGAGCTTGCATATCGTAGATGGATGTATAATCGGACTTATCCTAATCGTAGTGGATTGAGTGAGGAATTTATAGAAGGGGTTGCTGAATTTGTGGCTAAAGCGAAAACACTTTATAAATTTCTCAGTGAAGGGATGATTAGGTGCCCTTGTGTCAAATGCAAGGGTGCAAAGTTATTACATCCAGATGTTGTTAAAGTTCATCTTTATAAAAAAGGATTTATGGAAAATTATTACGTGTGGACTATTCATGGAGAGGATGTTGCTAGTGTTGATAACGTCGATTTTCAAAAATTTTTTGGTAGTGAGGGTAGTCCATTAGCAGAGAATAATACTGAAAATTCTCGATTCAGTGAAATGGTTAGGGATGCTTTTGTGATGCACCCGGAGGCTCAGTCTGAACCAAATGATGATGCTAAGCGCTTCTATGAACAATTACAGGAAGCAAGTCGTCCATTGTATGAAGGCTCAATACATTCTAAGTTGTCTGTCGCAGTTAGATTATTAAGTATTAAATCGGATTCAAGTATTTCTCAAGCGGGCATGGACTCTATCATTGGCCTTATGAATGAACTTAATGCGAATAAAATTGACCTACCCAAAGATTTCTACACAGCAAAGAAATTGGTTTCTAAGTTAGGACTTTCATCAGAGAGGATTGACTGTTGTGAGAAAGGTTGCATGTTATTCTATAAGGATGATGCAGCCTTAGAAAATTGCAAATTTTGTAACCAACCTCGTTACAAAAAAGTCATAAATTCAAAAAGCAAGAAGGTTCCAGTTAAGGCGATGCATTACTTACCCCTTATACCTAGGTTAAAGAGGTTGTATGCATCAATGAGCTCTGCTCCTCATATGAAATGGCACTATGAAAATAGAAGGCCACCTGGTATTCTGTGTCATCCGTCAGATGGAGAAGCATGGAAGCATTTTGATAGGGTTTTTCTGGATTTTGCTAGTGAACCAAGAAACATTAGGTTGGGTTTATGTGCAGACGGATTCACTCCCTTTTCCGTCTCTGCTGCACCATATTCATGTTGGCCAGTGTTTGTTATGCCGTATAATCTTCCTCCTGAGCTGTGTATGACAAGTCCATATTTGTTCCTAACTTGCATTGTTCTAGGTCCGCGCAATCCGAAAAGTTTGATTGATGTATACATGCAACATTTAATTGACGAGTTAAAGTTATTGTGGCATGAAGGTGTGGAAACATATGATATATCAACTAAACAAAACTTCAGATTGCGTGCTGCTTTGATGTGGACTATAAATGATTTTCCTGCTTATGGAATGTTGTCCGGGTGGTCGACTGCAGGAAAGTTAGCTTGCCCAACTTGTATGGAAGACACAAAAGCATTCACGTTGAAACATGGAGGAAAGAATACATGGTTTGACTGCCACCGTCGATTCTTGCCTATGGATCACGAGTTTAGGATAAATACTAGTGCATTTATGAAGAACCAAACTGATTTTGAGGAGCCACCGTCACCATTGTCGCCAGAAGAAATTTGGAACAGAGTTAGGTTTCTACCAAAGGTAACAGAGGCTCCAATATCTAATAAGATACCCGGTTATGGTGTTACGCATAATTGGACTAAACAGAGCATATTTTGGGAGTTACCTTATTGGAAGCATAATCTTCTTCGGCATAATTTGGATGTCATGCATATCGAGAAAAACTTTTTTGACAACTTGTTTAATACAATAATGGATGTCAATAACAAGACAAAAGATAACTTGAAGACTAGGATGGACTTAAAGGAATATTGTAGGCGAAGTGAGTTATACCTGACATACTTGAACAACAAGATTCAGAAGCCCAAGGCCAGTTACACATTCACTTTGGATGAGAGAAGAGAGATTTGTGATTGGGTTAAGAATTTGAGGATGCCTGATGGATATGCGTCAAACTTATCCAGGTGTGTTGACATGAAAGAAGGGAAGTTGACGTCTATGAAGAGCCACGATTGTCACATTTTCCTCGAATCTTTGATGCCTATTGCATTCAAAGCGTTGCCTGATAGAATATGGAAACTCATTACTGAGATAAGTTTATTTTTCAAGGAGTTGTGTTCTAGCACATTGAAGGTGGAGAACTTAGCTTACATGGAGAGTAACATTTGCTTAACTTTAAACAAGCTGGCGAAAATTTTTCCTCTTGGGTTTTTTGATGTAATGGAACATCTTCCAATTCATCTTGCACAAGAGGCACGACTTGGAGGTCCTGTACAATGTAGATGGATGTATCCTTACGAGAGGTAATGACTTTAAATTATTTTTCCTTGACTTGTTTTAATTAAACATTATTTCATCTAAACATTGTGCTATGTAGGACTATTGGAAAATGTAAGTGGACCGTAAAAAATCGATCTAGGATTGAGGGATCGATATGCGAGGCACATCTGGCTAAAGAAACTTCTTTTTTCTGTTCATATTATTTTGAACATGATGTGCCATGTTTGAGAAATAGGCCAAATCGGCATGATGATGGAGGTGTTAATGATCCTTTGGCACCACCATTTTCCATATTCAATCAACCAGGTAGAGGCCCGCAAAACTAGTAAAAAGCGAAATTTGACTGAGATGGAGAAAAAATCCGCTACAACACATGTATTATTGAATTGTCCAGAGGTCCAACCTTATTATAAGTAAGTCTTAATTTATACTAAAGGCGATTATTACATTATCAAAGTTATTTTAACTAATGAAAGTTATAATTTTGTCCGGCAGTTACTTTATAGGTGTAAACGGGCATGATGCTATTTATCCAAGATTTTCAGAGTGGTTTAAGGAGTTTGTAAGTTCTATTTTGTGGCTACAAATTCAGTACATGTATCTTTAAAATTCTAACTTTTCTTTAACTTTATATAGGTTCATAATCCAGTGAATGGAATTAATGACCCATTTTTGCGTGATATAGCTTGGGGACCTGACTATAATAAAGTCAGAATGATGTCTAAGTACTTTGTCAATGGGTACAAGTTTCATACAGAAGAATGGTCTAAGAATAAGAAAACCAATAATAGTGGGGTGTGGGTAAAGGGTGATGGAGATGTTGATTATTATGGTGTGCTTCAAGAGATTTTAGAACTAGAGTATTTCGGTTGGCCGAAAAAAAATTGGTACTCTTTTGGTGTAAGTGGTATGATCCAACACCTACTAGAGGTACAAAAGTTCACCCTCAATATAAAATAGTTGAAATTAACCACACGAAGGAGTATGGATTCTATGATCCATTTATCATTGCACAAAATGTGAAACAAGTGTATTATGTTCCTTATTCTTTGTGCAAGAATAAGTCCACATGACGGATAGTTATAAAAACAAAGCCCGTTGGTAGAGTAGAAGTTGAGAATGCATTAGAAGTCGCGTACCAGAATGATATTTCGAGTGTTCAAGAAAGTGTTGATTATGAATTAGTGGGCGAATTGCAGCATAGTACAGGCATCTATGAAGAATATGATCCTTCGGTCCTTACTCGTAGAGCAAATAAGCATGATTTTGGGGAAGGAACATCCCGTACAAACATGGAGGAAGATCCCGCCGATGAACATGAAACAAGCGAGGAAGAATCATTTGATAAAAATGAAACAAGCGATGAGGAAGAATTGCTTGATGAAAATGAAACAAGCGATGAGGAAGAATTAAATAATGAATATCAATCAAGCGAAGAGGATTGACATGTTGGTTTTATTTTAACGACATGTACTAGCCTTTTTTTATTTGTGTAAGACAACTGTCTTCCATTTTCATTTCTAATTTGTTTTTTGGTCTGTAAATTTCTCAGGTAGGTTACACCGTTTGCAGATGTGCACTCAACAGTCGCATATTCTGTACTTTACTCCGGCTCTATTTCAGCTTCTTTTCATTATTACTTGGTCTCTCTCACTTTTAGCTTTTGGTTTGATTCAAATTTTTCATTTGCTCTTTCTTTCACCTAGATGAAACTGGAATTCTGAGAAAGGATGGTACTACTCATTAGATTGAATTGGTTACTTTATTTGCTAGATATCTATGTTAATTCCTAATTCACTTGAAATATCAAAAGGTTATGGTACATGATAGTATCTTCTCATTTGTTCAAAAAATAGCAAATGTTCAGCTTAAATGTGCTATTCCTTTCATGCTGTTCTCTGATGTGAATTAGATAGCACATGTGCTTTGTCTACAATCCTCATGTACAAGGTTACTAATTCGCGATTTACCATGAACCTGGTTAAATGTTCTAGGATAGTAATATGTGATGTTTCACTAGAAAAGAACATTTGAAAGTTAGGTTGATTAATAGATGTGTTCAAACTTTGATATGAGTCAATGCCTCAAATATCTAGAAAATTTGAAAAGTGAGGTGTGTGAATGCAGATAAAAAAATTTGTGTTTTAGAGTGCTGATATGTTGACACTTCTTTTACAGAGCTTCCATATAGTCTTACATTAAAGGATATTTATAGGTTTTATCGTATTCAGGATCTTGGTGGCCTCCTCTTAGTTTTCTTTGTACAAAGTTCAGACGAGGCCAACTTTACATACTCTTCGGTGCTAATCAAACACTTTATCCTCTTCTTTACATTTTTTATGTCTTAACATATTTTATCTAATGCTTTTAATATACTTATGTTACACAGATGGCGCCAGGAAAAAAAAAAAGATAAGACACAATTCCCAGCTTCCTCAGCACACTTCAGGTCCTACTACCTCGTCTGTGCCATTTATGGGTCCTCCTCATCCTCATCCTCCTCCGCCTCCTCCTCCTCCGCCTCCTCAGCAGACTTCAGTGCCACCTGGCTTTTTCACTTTGCCCTCTTGTGATCCAGTTCGATATAAGCCTATCTCTAATTCCCAGAGCATGCACACTATACCATCTTCTTCGCCAGCTTATCGTACTAGTCAGCATGGTTGCTCCTCATCTATGCCTCCGTCATCATTCACTCCATACCCAAGCTACCATGTTAGTCAGAATGGTGGTTCCGCATCTATGACTCCATCTTCATCTCCATCATCATCCACTCCTAGTGTTTCTAGGCCGCATGTTGGAGATTCTACCATACCGTCATCCCCATCTATTGATACATCTACACCTGCTCCTGATGATACACAGACTCAGACTTTTGAAGAGATTGTATCATATGATTCCCTTCATAGACTGATTATCATTCCTGATGGGACTACTGGGTAAGAAATTACTTTATTATTCGTTTGAATTGTTGAATATATTTTTAACATATATTAATTTTAATGCAGGTTTGTTCCCTCCAAGGAATCTACGAAGGTGGTTGTGGATTGTGTTAAAGGATTTTATCGAGATGCTTGGAGTAAATGGTCAGATGTACCGTATATTTACAGAAATCAGATGTGGAATCAATTTAGGGTACAAAATCAATAAATTTTGTATTATTTATCAAACTACCCTTATTTCATCTAATGTTTTAAATAATTTGCAGACAAGGTGTGCATGGATTCCCAAATATCATCAGCAAATAAGTCATAATTTCGAGAAAAAAGCTGCTGATCGGCTTAAAAATCTCCTTTATAAAGCTCGATAGAAGGGCGAGAAGCCCGGTTGGATGCTAAAAGAATTGTGGGATAGACTTATTGTGATATGGGCTTCCGAAGAATTTAAGAAGAGGAGCAATGCTGCAAAGGCTGCCCGAGCCTCCAATACGGGTGGCTCATTGCACACTGGGGGTTCAATTAGTATGGAGACCCATCGAAGGAGAATGGTAACTTTCTTATTATATTTGTTTTGATTTTAACTAGATGCAATTGAACTTTATCTAACTTAATTTTTTTTTTTTGCAGGAAAAGGAAAAAGGGAGACTTGTGACTTATGCTGAGGTCTTTGAGGACAAACATTTGAAAAAGAAAAAGGATGGGACAAGAGAATGGGTCGGGCCGCGTGCTGCGAGGGTATATGTAAGATCCTTCTATTTCCTTTTTGTCTCTTCTTCTTTCTTCTTCTTCTTCTTTGATTTGTTGGGGTTGATGATTCTTCTAGTCATAAGACAAGGACCTTATACTTTTATATATGTTGCTCTCCACAAGACTCCAATGATTGTGTTGGAACTTCAAAAACAGAGGTGTTCAAAGTAACCATAGGTTGTTTCACCATATTATTATTCAACACCATTGCATTTTGAACCTCTTTAATAATTTTTCCACATGAGGGTTAGAAAAATGTAGAGTAGGAGTATTAGAGCTGTGATTGCCTGTTAGTTCCCCCATCAGATTTTTCTTTGAGGCATTCTGTCCAGCTTGTGAGATTGATTTTCCATCTACAAGAACAATGTCCTTTGAGACATTTGCTGAAACTGCTGTGTGTTTGGGTAATTGTTGCTGTTTTCCATCACCTGGTAATTGCCCAGATTTTTGTTCTGCCTCAAGACTAGCCTGCTGCCAGTTCTTCCCAGCATCCTCCTCGTATTCATTCATCAAAGCATCAAAGGAATTAGAAACTCTACAGTTCTTCGATGCACTATTCTAATTTTTGTTAACTGGAGCCTTTTTATTGCTAGTTGACTGCTGTGCATGATTAAATACTGTCCAGTCCTCACCCTTTCTATTTTTCACTCCTTTAGAACTTGATTCATTGCCCCGAGATTGAGATATCCTTCTTGCAATGTCTTTGATTGATTTTGATCAATATTTGATACTTTGCCTCGTGGTTCTGGAACTTGTTATCGCCCGTTGTGGAGTCAAAACAGACTAAGTTAGAAGTATTAATTTCTGGTGTAAGTCCTGTATGTATATTTAATTTTACCATTTTGGAGGATCAATATGAAGAACCTATTTTCATGTCATCTGTTCAAGACTCATATATCTAGGAAAAATGAAGAACTCAGTTCAATGATGTTTATAGTTTACTCATGCAACTCGAATCACCAACTGCATAATCTAGCTAAGAGAATTAATCCAGTATTCACTTTGTCGAGTGATTAGTAAACTGGGTAAAAAGAGCAGCGTCAGGAAATCACGGGTATCAGGTCTGGTAGTTGGTGTAAAAGGAGAATTTATCTAGTTATTCAGTCTAACTAACTCGACAGCTTTAGTTGTTGTATGTCATCTCTTATAAGAAGTTTCATTCATTGTTTTCAATGTCTTACGTCTTGTTGAATTCCTTGACTTTTCACAATATTCCTTATTACTGAACCCATTAGCAAGAAGTATCGATGAGTTGCTGCTTCAAATTTAGCTAATAGTTACTGCTTTTTCATTGTCTTGAGGACAACATTGGTTATATTTACACTTTGTGTTGCATTTTTTCTTCCCTTTTTTGGTAAATTATATCTTCTTTCTTGTTCATTGATTCAGACTGCACTAGTTGTAATCGAACTAGCATTTCCTATGTTTTGCTTAGTTGCAGTTGCCTGTTGAACCATATGCACATGAACTGTTACGCTTACAAGAAACTTTAGATATACTAAGCGGCTGGCAACTTATGTGCTGCTTGTGGTGTCTGACCAGTTCATCTGATAATTCTGATCATTTCCAGCAGCTGATAATTCTCTCTACCTCATAGTTGTGAAAAAATCAGAGTGCCCTCAGAACAATCACCCCGGGCAACTAGCTAGCTTTTATATCCTTAAATTCAAGTGCTGTTTTTTTTACAAAGAGGGAAAATCTGCTGGTACTCTATCTGAATATCTTTTCGGTCTCCATTTTAATTTCAGGAAGCCTATCAGCAACGTTTTGAGGAATGGCGTCAAAGTCAACCCGATTCCGAGGATGGTAGCTCAACCCAAGTGTCACTCAATGATGTAGCTTCAATATGGATGCAGGTGGTTGGTGGCGCAAAGAAAGGTAGAACCTACGGTCTTGGATCACAATATTCTGTAGGTCGTTCTACCACATTGTTGTCTGGTGATGCGAGTTATTCGCAAGATCACGAAGAGGTGGAAGCATTACGAAAAGAAGTTGAAGAATTGAAGGAGGAACGGAAAGAAGATCGCGCAAATTTTAACAAATTGCAGAGTCTAGTGGAGAAATTTATGAGCGGACGTCCATTTGCTCCTTCGAATATTGACAATGGCGGGGATAATGAGTTTTAATTTGTTATGGTTATTGATGTTTGAGACATTATTATTTGTTGTAGTTGAATGTTTAGACTTGGTAATATTTACACTTGACTATGATTGTAATATTTTAGACTAGATTGAATGGTGTTAGAATGTTTAACTCTTTTTGGATCTTTTAGTTACAAATATTTATGTTTTGCATTTTATGGATTTGATTAGTTGCAATGGTGGATTGATTGGTTAGCATTGTAGATTAATTGGTTGTTGTATATTTGAATTGGTAGGTGGTATTGCTTTAAAAGAGCTGGAATTTGGCAAAAAATTGCCAGTTTTCCGACTTATTTCCAACCATAGTAGTCGCAAATACAAATAAATAAATAGTTTTAAATTAGATTTGCGACCACAGTAGTCAGAATAATAAATAAATAAATAATTTTAAATCAGATTTGCGACCACAGTAGTGGGAAAAATCAAATAAAATTAAATACTATTATAATTAGATATGCTGTTTGCGACCGAAGTAGTGAGAAAGTTAATATAAAATTAAAATTTAATTTAACCTGTTTGCGACCGCGTCGGTCAGAAACTTTACCGCATTTATTAGTCGTTTTCTATTTTGCCTTAGCGACCGCTGTAGTCGCAAATTACGGACGAATTCGGTCGCAAATTATTTTAGACCAACTATTTTGCGACTACGACTTTTCAGTCTAAAAGTAGTCGAAAATTAGCATTTTCTGACCACTTTCTGACCGTTTTTGCAGTCGCAAAATAGCCATTTTCTAGTAGTGCATGCATAAAGTTCAAATGTATAATTGGATTTTCAATTGAGACTCATTTAGGTCTTCCAAACATTCATTTTTAATTTTGGTCAGATCTCGAATAAATTATATTTTTGGGTCACTCATACGTCGTAAAGTTCAAATGTATAATTGGATTTTCAATTGAGACTCATTTAGGTCTTCCAAACATTAATTTTTTGATTTTGGTCAGATCTCGAATAAATTATATTTTTGGGTCACTCATATATCGTAAAGTTCAAATATATAATTGAATATTCAATTGAGAACCATTTAGGTCTTCAAAACCTTAATTTTTAATTTTAGGAACTTGAGGCCCAAATTCACAATTTTACTCCCGAATCTTCATGTTTAAAGTGTAAAAATTCATACATAATTAAGTATTAAACACAAACAACTAAATAAAATAATTTTCTTAGTCCGATAGGTGAATTCCTAGTCCAAAATAGTTAACACTTAAAAATGGTAAAAATAAGGTCTAAAATGGCGAATTGATCTGTTTATACAAGAGTACCATCATAATCCAGACATTCAACTGCTACTGCAGCGTTCTTGCTTGAGCCGAGCTCCTATGTTTATGACCAGTGGCGTAGCCACATATATTAGAGGGTAGTTGACCGAACATCCTTTTTCGAAAAACTATTTTGCGTATATAAAAATTTATATTGTGTATATAGGTCAAACATATTTTTTATATGTATATGTTAAATATTAAATTTTGAACATCACTACTAGAAATCTGGTAAATACCAACCAAAAAAACCGACTAAAGTGGCCAACTACCGACCAAAATGCGAGCAAATACGCTTGAACGGTATTTTGATGGTCGTTTTAATATACCGACCAAAGTTGGTCGGAAATTACCAACCAACATTGGTCGGTAAATTAAATTCAAAAAAAAATATTGCAAAAAAAGCCCGACCAAAGTTGGTCGGTATTTTAATTGTGTAATCAAAAGATTCACCGTATGGGAATCGAACAGGGGTGTGTACTGTGGCAGGATACTATTCTACCACTAGACCATTGGTGCATTTTGTTTTAAGATTGTCTTTTTTTTATTTAAACTCTTTAATTATATTTTCGCACGAAAATAATCGACAAAAGTTGGTCGGTTTTATTAAAAAATAAAATTACCGACCAAAGTTGGTCGGTTTTTTAAAATTACCGGCCGAATTTACCGACCAAAGTTGGTCGGTTTTTTTATTATTAATTTTTATTTATTTTAATTGCAAAAACCGACCAAAGTTGGTCGGTTTCTTGAAAAATAAGTTTCGCGGGACTCAAAAATAGTTTTCCGTATTTTTGCGCCAAAGAAAACCGACCCAAAGTTGGTCGGTTTGTAAAAAAAAATTAAAAATTAAAATATTTACTTAACTATGACATATTATAAATTTATTTACGCATACTAGACATGTTATCACTTATAAATTTTAAATTTTAACTTGATCGAGGACGCGTTTAAATTTTATGGGTCTCAACCTAAATCATACCGGTAAGTCATAAATTATAATTCCAACCTATAGGAATAAAAAATTCACAAAACAAGGGGTTTTAGTTTAGGGTTTTAGGCCAGGAAGATGCTTAAGCTTGGATTAAAAGTAGTTTTTAGTTTCTAAAAAGGCTTTCTAATGCATTTTTCTTTTCTATACTTGCATCTCTTTTTGGTAGGTACTTAATAGTCGACTGCAAATGAAGGGGGAAAAAAATTTAGTCGACTGCAAATGTTCTAGATCTTTCTTTTTTTTTGTGCCTTCATCTTCCCGTCATTTCTACATAACATCTTCAATCTGTTGTTCCCCCATCTTCGTCCCTTTTCTTCCCTCTACATAAACCCACCAAAAACCCTATCATATATGTTAAAATTGAAAGGTACCCATTAAAATTTCTCCTTCGCTGTATAGCTGGGACAAATTCACAACTTCAGGTACAGAATCAACTCAATTTTTAGCACCCTCTACATTCTCTTTTTGTTATTAACTGTCATTATTCTCCTTTTTATGGTGTTGTATGCAAGTGTCAGAATTAGTCCGTAAATGGGGAAAAGAATCATTTTTTAAAGTTTGGGAGTAATTATGACCCCGAATAGAATGATTTGGATACGGATAATTTCATATGGTGGGTTCTATCTAATTTGGAATTGAGGCTTAGTTGATTGATTTACTTTTATGGTGATTCCAGTGGAAATTTTGTGGGTTTTAGCTGATTAAGCTCTGTCTTTAGCTGATGGTTTTCCCATAAAACCTCCTCATAGAGCTATGGTAGTACCATGTATGGCATAATTATTGTGGGTTTGTGCTAGAGTTAGGTTTAAAATCTAGATTTTGTAAAAGGGGATGTGATAAGTTCACTACCCCGTTTTGGCGTGAGCCCCTTCAAGGGGCTATCTTGCTAAAGAAAATTTTCTTCTTAGGCAGATCACAGATGAGTTTTCATGGGTTTTTTTTTCTTTCAGCTTCCTGTAAACCGGTTTGTTAACATAGCATTTCATATCGAATTAGCATTGCCTTTTTAATGTCTTTGGTGTGTTATTTGCATGTTTTAGTCTGTTCAACTTTCATGTTTACTGTAAATGTTCCTTCTTAGGCAGATCACAGATGACTGTAAATTGAATGGTATATTGCATGGTATATTATCATGTCGAATATAAATTTGTATTGTAGAAAAAAAAAGAGGAGGTAGTTTTTTTTCACCCTTTTAGTTAATCTAATAGAGTTGGTGTGGACCTGCACAAGATAGGGGTAAGGCTGCGTACTCACTACCCTCCCCAAATCCCACTTGTGGGATTACACTGGGTTTGTTGTTGTTGTTGTAATAGAGTTGGTGTAGAAGGATAACTCCCAAATGTTGTCCTGGGAATAGTTAAATGTAATTTTGTACTCTAGAAAGAAAGAGGGGTAGTTTGTCCACCCTTTTAGTTAATCTAATAGAGTTGGTGTAGGAGGATTGCTCCCAAGTGTTTTCCTAGGTATATTTTACACGCAGCCAATGTTTACACTAAACAAAATAATTAACTTTAGGGTCAAATTTAAAATGAGAATACATATCACTTCATCGTTCTGTAGTAATAAAACTTAATCCTTGTGTGATAATAAAAGTATACATGCAAGACACATGTTGCGTCCATTAGTTTGGTGTAAATATCATGTGCGGGTAAATTTTCTTTCCGAGTTGAGTTTGATATTAGATTGCTCCCTAATTTCCCTTTCTTACTTTCTTTGATTTATGTTCTTAAAGTAAGTTTAGGCCATGCAGCAGTATCAGATGATTCTTTTTGGGGCTGTTTGTAAGAATGTATGAGCTTTTCTCTTTTCATTGTGCATTTTGCTAACATAATTTCAAAGGTTGCGAGCAAGTGTGACTTAATTTTGCAGTGTTTTTGTGTGGAACGCAAAGTAGCAACTTTGAATTAGATTATGATCTTTACCTAACACTACAATCTAGGCAGTTTTGTGCAACTTCAGATATCGTATGGCTGTTTGAATTTGAATCAATTCGAAACATCGGCTTGTGGTTGGTCAGATGTTGCTCTGAGTTTGAATCATTTCGAAACATCTGCTTGTGGTTGGTTAGATGCTGTGAAAATTTATTTTCCTAACCGTGGTTCCTTTCTTCTTCTCCTCAGGAAAAAGGCACAAGAAATAAAGTAACGAACAATGTTTGGAGTAGTGTTCCCGAACCGAAGCTTCCCTATGGATATCTCCACCTTTGCTCAAATTGACACAACCCATTGGGTCCTTGACATGAACACCTTTGTTGGTAAGTTCCAACACGCTCAATCAAAGACAGTTTATGCTTTTTCACCAGCCTGACAGTTCTAACGTAACGCGTGCAGGGGAAGAATACGATTCAATTCGTGAAGTCTGCATATTCCTCATCAACAACTTCACGCTGCCACCAGACAAGGCCCTTGCTGTGTATATCCAATCCCCTGGCTCACCTTTCCTCTTTTGTGGTGCAGTCACGCTGACGCGACCCTCTGCCGTGCTGTTGCTCCCTTGGCCAGAGTCCGGTGGCCAACTGCAGCTCACTGCCGATGCAACTCCAGTCTCTGCCAAGATAGGTGTCTCAGTTGAGGACCTTGCAACACTTCCCTCCCTTGATGTCACTGCAGGGAAGAAAATCGAGAGGTTGGCATTGAAAGTTGGTGAAAACTTGTTCAATTTTATGCAGTCGTTTTGTGGGGTGGATGGCAGTAAGCTGGTGGTGCCTATGGATATATTGGATCGTTGGTTCAAGAAATTCCAGGAACGAGCAAAGCGAGATCCAGAATATTTGAAGGGCTTCGCCTTGTAGTTTGGCTGAGAAGTATATTTCATGTGTGTAGGTTCCACATGAGAATTTACTGAGTTGATTGTTGTAGGATTGTGATATGTTATTTTCAGTATTTGGTTAACTTTGGGCGGCAACCACTGTCTAATGTTGGTTTTTGGACAAGTGAGTCTCAATCTTTTAGCATTTGAGTTACATTTGAAGGGTGTAAAGCAGTTTCTTCTCTTTGTTGTACGGATTATGTTCAGCACGTTTTTCCCGTAAATTGAGTTCAAAAGTGAAGAGAAAGAAAAATAGCAGCAAGGAGGTGGAAAGTCGGAAATTTGGGAAACCTTTTTTCTAATGAAGTGTACTCACTAAGGGTGTTTAACGGGTGGGCCGGGATGGGTAGGGATTTTTTGTACCCGTACGGGTTATGGTCCGGGCCGGTTACGGGTTGGGGCTTACCGGGTTTAACGGGTTCGGGTTCATCCGGGTAAAAATTGAACTGATACGGTTACGGGTTGAGTGTATTTTTTAATTTTTTTTTTGTATTTTGTAAACTATTGTAAGTTATATGAATACTTTGTATTAATATAAAGAATACAAGGAAGATGGGAAAAAATTGCACTTATAAATTGCAAGTGCTACATTTATTTCAAAATTCAAATTTACAAATTGAAAGATTTACATTTAACAACAAGTAAATTAACCAAAAAAGAGTAAATTCAAAAGTTTTGCATTGCCTTAGTAAGTTCTTCATAATCAATATGAACTGAGTGACCTTCTTCTGGAGTGTTAAATTCGGATGGGTTACCATGTGTTAATATATCTCCAAGTTCCTCGTCTTCTGGGCTATCAACATCTTCACGTCCTTGATTTCTTCGTTCCGATCTAATCCAATTTCTGAAACATACTAAAACTTCCAAAGCATTGCTTCCCAATGAGTGACGAGTGTCTCCAAGTTGTTGTCTTGCTTGGCTAAATGCACTCTCTGATGCAACAGTTGAAATTGACACATTCAGCACGTCCCGAGCCATAGCGAAAAGAACAGGAAATTGCTTTCCATTCTCATGCCACCATCCCAACGGTGAAGATTCCTTTGTGCGAGGCTCTTTTTACTTCTGCAAGTAGAATTGAAGTTCATCAATGTTCCTACTACTGGTTTGAGTGTTAGAAACTGTAGAAAAAATATTAAAACTATCAAGGCCTTCTTCATCATCCACAGTAGCAGAAGTGGTACAGTGCATAGTGGGATTAACATTGCCTACACTACGAGCAGCATCATCAAATTACATTTGCATAATAATTATATAATTGTTGTAAATATTCATTTAGCTTGTTCATACAATTATATAAATCTAGGGTTTCAGTTGGTCCAATCTTCATATAAGTATATAAAGCATTCATTAATTGGTGACAATCAGACATCTTAATAGAAGGATTTAAAACAGCACCAATTAAGTAAATCGGAGGAATTGGAAAGAAATATTTTTTGAATTTTGCTTGCATTTTTTCCACAACATTCTTATATTTTTCTTTCTTCTTAAATTCAAAGAGTAGAAAAGAAATTTCAGCTATATATACTAAAGCCATAGTAACATTAGGGTAATATGCTCCAGAAAACTCAACAGTAGCTGTATAAAATTTATGTAAAAATTTAACATCATTAATGACCTCCCAAGTAGTAGTTGTTAACATACGGTTTGGATCAGTACAATGCGCATTAGCAACTTCAGTTATTGGGAATCTATATTTGTAGCAACATTTTAAAAATATATATGTATAATTCCGTCTAGTAACAATTTCGTCTGGTATGAATCTGGGTTTAAGGTTATACTGGACACACTTATTCTTAAATTCCTTTATTCTAGATTGTCTATTATTTCCTTAAATAACACCAACTGCTCTTCTAACATGAGTAATCTCAGTTGAAAATAAATCAAGGCCACTTTTAACAATTAAATTATAAACATGACATGCACACCTAACATGAAAATTTTCATCAAGAGGTGGTTCCAAATGCAGTTTTAATATTGAAATTGCGGCATTATTGTTAGAAGCATTATCAAAAGACATACACAATACTTTTTGCTTGAGATTATAAAATTCAACAACTTCAAAAATAGTACTACTTATAAACGCAGCAGTATGACTCTGATCTTCATCATATTTAAAAGCGATAATACGTTTTTGCATACAAGTAGTATCATATATACAATGACACGTAATTGTCAAATAATCATTTTCATTAACAGCATGGCCAATATCAGAAGTTAGAGAAACTCTACAAGGAAGGTGGCTAAACAAATAACGTATGTATGTTTGATATTGTCCATGAAGTCTAAAGATATCAAATCTACAAGTACTTCTAGGGATACCTTTAAATAAAGGATTGTAAATCCTTTGAATATACATAATAAGATATGATGAAGAAGCAAAAGAAAAAGATAGACAACCCAAAGCAATCATTTTTGCTAACTCCTCACGATCCTTCATTTTATCATATTTCACAAGACCTCCAGTAGTAGGGTTTAGAGTTGATTGATTTTCATCTCCATCAGATCCCCATTCTATATGATGCTCAATTCTCATATGTCTACTAAGTATCCTAGTCCCCCCTAATTGTCCCCCAGTCTTATGTTTAAAAGTATCATTACAAAGTTTGCATTTAACTCTATCAGTACCTTCTATTTCCTCAAAAAATTTCCAAACCTTACTTCTTTTTCTACGATTACTAGTCAGGGCCACAGGTGGTCTACTACTAGCCCACCACCCCTGCTAGCAGCTCCAACACTACTAGGTGTAAGTAGTATCTCATCTTCCATTTCTAATTCATTATCATCTATACCAAAATCTTCCTGCAATTGTTCATAATCTATATTATTAGCAGGTAATGTTTCAGGAATATTAGGAGAGGTATTTAAATTACTACCAGATGCTGAAGCTGAAGTACTACCTCTTTTTTTATTTTTCCGATTAGTAACCTTGTTACAAACTCTTTTTGCAGCATTAAACATATTGTAAAAATTTAACTACTAGCAACAAAACAAATAAATATGCAAATAAAATAGTAAATAAGAGAAAGAGTTGGAGGGAGTGCACCGAATTCAGCAATAAATTGAGCACTTGATGATTTCGCAACTCCAATGTTACCACGAAGAAACGTCAATTGTTCCAATTTTGAAGTTCAATTGTTCAAACTTAAATAATAAATACTACGATAAATTAAATTCCAAAAAAAAGAAGAGCCAAATAGTTGATTGCACTTTAATAGGTGAAGAATGAAGATTGAAGAATGAGAGAATATGAGAATTGAGAGATGAGTGAAGAAACGAGGAAGAGGGGGGGGGGGGTATTTATAGTTTTTGAAAGGAGGGTTAATTTTTAAAAAACAAATCCCAAAATTGGGCTAATTAAACGGGTCCGGGCCGGGCCGGTTAACCGGTTTCATATCACTGATCATCTACCGGGTTATACCGGTCCGGGTAACTGGTATATCCAATGTGAACGGTGCAACCCACGAAATACNAAATAAACTCAAAATTGGGCTAATTGTGCAATTCAGCCGTTGGGCAACGGCCATTTTCTGAAATGGACCATTGCCAACGGTCAGATCTGGGCCCAGTTAAAAAAAAATTACCGTTAAACCGGTCTGGGCCGGTCCGGGCCGGTTAACCGGTTTCATATCACTATTCATCTACCGGGTTATACTGGTCCGGATAATCGGTATATCTAATGTGAACGGTGCAACCCGCGAAATACCCTTAACCCAGCCCAACCCAGTCCCCTTCTACCGGTCCGGGCCGGTTCCGATTTTAACCGGTCTGGGCCAGTCCGGAACCGGGCTGACCCGACCCGTTTAACACCCTTAGTATCACTCTGTTCCATTTTATGTTGCACTAGGAACAGGGACATTATTTTCTTTATTATCTGTTCCAAAATAAATAATACATTATTTGAAAATAACTTAATTCTATATATCTCATTTTATCTTTAATGATATGCTTTTATAACTATAAAAAAACTCATGACTAGGATCATAAATTTTTTAAACTTTTTTTTCCTTCATTGGCCTATTCACGCCACTAAATTTTCTCTTAGCAACTTTATGACTAGTCCGGCCAATTTTTCGCGACATTTTAAGAGTTTGCTTATAATACTAATTTCGGGATAAAATTTGAGATTGTATTTATTCAATGTTTGGTATGAGTATTAACTAATAACGATACACATTTTGTCCTAAATTATATATTAAAATGGGGGAATTAGCTGTCCCATATAGAATGTATGATAGCTAATCTCGTGTGATATCCCAACCAGTGGCGTTGCTAGGATTTTTATTAAGTGGATCAAAATATAAAAAGGTAGACCTGCGAAGAAGCCAACGGATGTCAATATGTAGTGTGTGTGTGTAGCAATATTTATCTAGTTATGCAATGTTATTTTTTAATGAAGGGGTGCCGGTTGACACCCCTTGAATACATGCGGTTCCGCCACTATGGCGATCTATAAGATATTCTTGTTGTTAAAGAAAATATACTTCAAAGCTCATAAGGGCAGTTTTATAATATCACCATGGTAGTTAGTTATTCTGTTAATTCACTTTTACCAGAATTAGTTAGTTAGTTAATTTAGATTACTTAGCTTAAACTAGCTAGATAGTATAAATAATGGTGTACATTATCATTTCCAGTAAGTTCAAATAATAAAGAATGATTAATTCTCTCTCTACTCTCTTCTCTCTCGCTTTCTTCTATCTTCTTCTGCTACGTCTCCTTCTTCACTTAAGTCACTGATTTGTGGCTATCATTCTTCTCTCGATCAGTTCATGGTATCAGAGCCCTCAAAGCTAAGTTCATACAGCTTTGATTTGATTAAAGTTTCCGCAAGTTCAATTCAGTTTTGTTGATTCTTGGTTGTATCGAAAAATTCAAGAACTAAGAAATGAGTTTAAACAATGATCAAGAAGATGGGTCTCAGCTGAATCAAGCCGATTCTCATCTAAATCAAACCACTGGAGGGACTTCTCAACAAGCAGGTATGGATTACAATCATCCTCTATTTCTTCACCCCTTCAGATGTCAGTGGAATACAAATTATCTCATTTCAGCTGACTGTAATTGAGAATTACTCTGTTTGGTATCGTTCCATGCTGGTAGCACTGCTAGGAAGGAACAAATTAGGATTGGTGGATGGTTCTTGTAGGAAAGAAAGTTTTCCTGCCACTAAGTGGAACCATTGGGAGAGAGTAAATGCTATTGTACTTTCTTGGATCATGAATTCCGTGAATAGTAG